GAAAACAGGCATGCTTCGTGCATAGTGGCAAGTATCACTTCAGAGATGCCGGGTAGTTAGCATCGTTTGGAAATTTTCTTCAGGGTATGTTGGTGTTTTGGGAAATGAGCAGATAGATAGACTGGCTGGCTCTGCACCACTTGGTGGTGAATTGATGCATGGCAAGTTAGATGTTGTGAGGATCCTTTGGGAGCGAGTGGACAGTGCGAAGGCACAGATAGATCCTTACGGTTTAAGGAGAATGGCGCTGCGAGAAGTTACCAGGGGATGTGACGCACGACTCTCAGGGGAAGGATGAGACGGATATACAATCAGACGGTTACCGGTACCATCGGAATTGGAACTCTTCGCTTGCTACTGAAGATGGGAACTGAGCACTTATGGTAGTGTCCCGAAGTGCTGTGATGTCGATTCCTAATTTAACATTCGTAACTATTAACATTGTCTACGAATACTTTGATATACTGCACCACACCAATTATGATCTTATAGTGCCATCAGTCTCTTTATTATAAGTCAACACATTGTGACGAAGATGAACTGGAAAAATCCACTCACATCGGCAGTCTTTCCAAACATGGACAATACACGACCGGCTTCAGCTAATGTGCCGTGCTGCTGACGTCACCGGCTCGGGCTAACGATGCATTAACACAGCGGTTCTCAAACTAGAAATAAACTATTTTCGACAGTGGTGAGGGAAGACATCTTAAATTTCAACTTTTAAGTATCCACATGCCTTCTTTAATAATTTCAAAATTTTGAGCCGACTTTTCTTGATTACTGCCGCGGCACTCTTGGCATACGCTCATGGCACATCAGGGTGCCTCGCACCCAGTTTGAGAACCGCTGCGTTAACGCATCGTTAGCCCGACCCGATGACGTCAGCAGCACGACCCGTCAGCTGGAGCCGGTCGTGGACAATACACCTCCAGCGAACTATGTACAAGGTGGCAGTAAAGGGGAACTCCCGTTCGATCGCACAGATACACCTAAGTAATGACAGTCCCCCACCGGATCCCCCACTAAGCGACCCCGCCACCCGAGGACTCAAAGAAGATGCACTGCTTGGTAAAAAGAATCCAGACCTCCCGCCTACATCCTAGTCACTCACTGAAATTAGTAAGTTAGTTAGTTAGTCGACAGATTATCCTCACTGCACGTCGAACCACTCAGCCCATAAGTGCTCAGATCCCCTCCTCAGTAAATCCTGCAGCGTGTAGCGGCTAACGACACCAGTTCTGTGTTGGTTTATTCTTCTTCTTTGACTACCCACGTAGTGTTCTTGTTTGTAGGAAGTATCTGAAGTATCACTGATCAACATTCCGTTAACCAGCCTCCCCGATATATCCCCATTACAACTCCACGTTGGCCTGAATTGCATTTGTAACCACGTTATCTCGCATAATATATAAAGTTTCTATGCCCAACTTTTTATTTTCCTACTATTTATGATATATATAACCTATGGCCATATACGATGTAGTCCATTCATTAAAATGCCCCAGGCTGCAGATGTTTGTATCTTTTGTTTTTGTTCTTGCATTGCATTCTCTGGCGGCATCATTTATGAATTTATTGTATGGTCTGCTTTTAAGCAGATTTGACTACTTTTGTTTAGGGTACATTATCATGGTATTTATTCTTTAATGCATGCCCTATTTCTAGACTTTTAACTGCAAGACAATATTTTCCCGTCTAGTTTGTGTCTCCTCCTCTTCCTTCTCCTTCCCCTTCTTCTTCTTAAGAAAATTAAAAACAGGTATAAGTATCTCACATTGTCTCAATTATTCCCATACAAATGATCTAGAATCCTTAGTGATAGAGTGTGTCTGGCTGGAAGTCAAGCCGTCAAACAACTTTTTATTGTTTACCAATAAAAAATCCTTGCGCAGTTAACAATCGGTGTGACGACTTCACTTCTATATGGGATGAGTTTTTAGCATAGGAAAATTATTCTTCTTCTAGGAGATTTCAACAAACCAAATCAAACCAGACATGGGACGATATCATCCTATCCTAAAACTTTAAACAAATAATTAACCTTCCCACGAGAGTGACAGAAACCTCTTTAGCTATACCCGATCACATTTATGTATCTTTCCCAACAAATGTTATTGAATGTACTGTAACCTCTAGTGCACTCAGCGACCACTATCCTGTCTGCATTACCTGATCAGAGAGGGGATTTAGAGCTCCTAAAAGTAAGCATTTGGCTATTAAAAATTGTGAAGTTTTAAAAATTATCATCCGGATTTAATTGAACACAACCTGCAAAAAGTAGGGCTGGATCATGTTTATCAACTTCCTGAACCTGACGACGCTATAGCCTATTGGACTAAAACATTCTACAATGTTTTTGATAAACATGTACCAGTTAAACAAGTTGGAGTCAGTGGATAACTAGTGCAGTTCTAGAAACTATGAGAGAACAAGATGTGGCACATAAAAATTAAAATTTTACTGCCTATCTCAAATTAGGAAATAAAGTGAAATGGGAAGTTCGTAAAATAGAGAAAGATCACTTCAAAAGATTCACTAAAGATAAAACAAACAGTGACGACAGATGGAAGGCTATTAACATGCTAACCAACACGAAATATTCTTAAGATCAGGCAATACCTTATTCTCTAACACGTGAAGAGTTAATTCCTTTTTCAAATCAGAAATTAGGAATTCAAAGTCCCCAATACCAGACTCACAGTGTGACTTAAGCTTGCTAGCATCATTCTGTGAGGAAAAATGCAGCACGACTATACCTTCTGAGATTTCCCTTTGATCTGTTGCGAAAGTGTATAAATATTTCTCCAACCTCAAGAAAACACCTATGGCATAGATGGAATCAGTAATCGAATTCTTCGATGTGCTGCCCAAGTCATTAGTGACTCCTTATCATTCATTTATAATTAATGCTTTGCTAAGAACTACTTTCGATCAGCATTTAAAATTGCTAGAGTTTATCATCTGCCGAAACCTGGCTCAGCTAACAACAGTTCTTTTGGTAATTACAGACCCCTTTCTCTACTGTCCTCGCTATCCAAACCATTAGAGAAACAAGGTTAGTTGCGTATCCCTTACAGGACGTTGCAGAACCAACCTCAACAGCCCTGGCTGTTGTGTGGTTTTTTTAAGCAAATTTACGTCCAGTAGTTTGCCATTGCTTACTGGACGGTCGGCTTTCTTGATACCACTGTCGAAGTCAACGCAAGGCGCATGGCCCACAGCTGGGATCGAACCCAGCATTACGAAGCGTTCGCATCGACTTAGCCACAGAGCCGACATTAGGGAAACATACATGAAATAACGTTTCAACACTTAAATAACAACAATCTAATACAGATCTGGCTCATTTTTAAACAGACTGTTGGTACCTTGCCTCTCAGGCAAATGCACGTCAACTTTGAAGAAAACTCGATAATTAGTAGACTTTTACGACATACTTGTTAGGAAGGTAGTGGTTCTTTTCTTGCCACCTCCCAAAATAGGATCCCGGAACCCACACGGCGATAAGTTTGTTTCAACAGTAGCGGACTCTATAATTTTTGATACAAATTTATTTTGCTTAAACTTTTAATTGCTTTTAATGTGTATCAAAATATGTGTTTTTTATAGTCAACCAACAAAGGAAGACAAATACAACTCAGGACTTAAAGATGGTGTTTTAAACGAGAATGCCTAATATTCTCATACCCGTTGAGTAATATCTGTGCTACATTAAGTTTTAGTCGTAGACGAGGTCTCCACTTCACTAACGATGGGTCGCCCCATAGCTGCCCCTTTCCTGCGGCAGTAAACATCACATGAAATGTCCCATTTGGAAACTAGTGAGCAAACACTCAGTCCTGGCTAAATGCAGAAACATGCACCTGCCGTTAATGCATAGGGCGCTGTTAGAGATGCCAACACCAACACTGCAATTTGTCGCTGATAGAAGTAAATTGTTTGTGTAAGTAGAGTTAAGTAATATGTTACATAAAACAACTCATGAAGGGTTTGTGCAGATTTTAAACACAATGATTATCATTAACATCAACAGTTTCATCGTCGTCGTCACTATCATCTTATACATATCCTTTAGTTATCTTTGTAGCAAACGCAATGTGTGCGCCGACAATATTCAGTTTCGTGATTCAATCTGTTCTCAAAACATTCTACCTCTTTGGTTAGTACACACGTGACACATATTTGATAATAAATTTGGAAATGTTTGGGGTGTATAATGTTAGATAATTAACATAGAAGGAGATGTTTGACTTAGTCAGTAACACAACAAAAACAGACTCCCGTAAAATACACCGTAAACACAGACGGAGATGTTTGGCGTAGTCAGTTAACACAAGACAGACAAACGTGCAGTATACAGTTAACCAACCTGAGATGTTTGACGCAGTCAGCTAACATAAGAAAGACATACGTACAGTATACAGTTAACCAGACTGAGATGTCTGACGAAGTCAGTTAATATAAGCCAGATAAACGTACAGTACACAGTTAACCAGACTGAGATGTGTGACGTAGTCAGTTAACACAAGACAGACAAACGTACAGTATACAGTTAACCAGACGGATGTGTTTGACATAGTCAGTTAACATAAGAAAGACATACGTACAGTATAAAGTTAACCAGACTGAGATGTCTGACGAAGTCAGTTAACATAAGAATGATATACGTACAGTACACAGTTAACCAGACTGAGATGTGTGACGTAGTCAGTTAACAGATAAAATACAAACGTACAGTATACAGTTAACCAACCTGAGATGTTTGACGTAGTCGGTTAACACAAGTCAGATAAACGTACAGTACACAGTTAACCAGACTGAGATGTGTGACGTAGTCAGTTAACAGAAAAAATAAAAACGTACAGTATACAGTTAACCAACCTGAGATGTTTGACGTAGTCGATTAAGACAAGACAGACATGCGTAAAGTACACAGTTAACCAGACGGAGAAGTCTGTTAAAACAACAACACAGACACTCGTAAAACACAAGCCTACCTGGTATTTCTTTCGCAAATTCGACGTATCCTTGTATCCACGTCGTAGCCCTCTGGACGATCTCAGCTTCTGATTCACCACGTACACTCAAGGAAGAACTCCACCTTCCCACACGAGACCAGCCGCAAGCGTTTGTTCCATTATTCACAGGAGGACTTGGTTTTGCAGCGGCTGCGTGTTTACGTATATTGTCATGAGGATCATCACAGTCTTTGTCACCAAAGCTCCAATCGAAACATCCACTTCCAGGTTTATCTCCCTGAGTACTACGGTTGTTCAAAGTTGCATCAGACGAGGTATTTGAGTCTTCTGCCGAAGAGTTAGAATCGTGCGTAGGCACTATCTTTCTAAAAGAAACGTCTTGGGAAATTACATCCTTACGTTTTCCACATTGCTTACAGTTTACAGAATAAGTGTAGCTTCTGACTGATGAAGTACTGTCTGCATTGTTAAATGTATTATCATGCAGGAACTTCTCAGTGTCCTGAGAGGTTTGCATTATATTTAGGTCAGTGATTTTCCTCTTGACTTGTCCTTGAAAGCTGGCAGGGTAGTTTGTCTGACTGTTCTCACAACGACAGAAATCGTCTGCTCTCTGAATGTCCTTTTCTGAAAACTGTTTTCCTAAATGATTTCTATCAACAGAAGGGAAATAGTCTCTGCACAGACTACAGCAGCTGTAGCAACTGAGCGCACACATTTGTCCATTTCGTGAAAGTTGCTCCGACGTTTTCACTGCGGCGACATTATATTGTTTATCAACCTCAACACAAACGGTTTCTGTCTTCTGCTCTTTGGTGTGGCTTTTTGAATGATCTATACATTTTGAGACATCTTCTTGTTTAGCAAAGTCTACACTATTGGAGGTGGCACTGGTGTATCTATTGGTTACCGCTTCATCAACAAATCCTGAGTCAGAAGACAACTGGGACCACGACCCTGAAGGTGAAGGCTGCTGTCCAGATTTGTCACTATTATTTTGGCAGTCTTTGTTCTCGGATGTTTTCGATGAACTGTCATGGCCAAACGATGGACCCACTTTTTCAGGGATTAGTTCAGGATGATTCCCAAATCTTTTATATAGAAGATAAATATTATGATACTCCAGTTGTTTTTGATAGATCCAGTCACTTGGGGCATCGGTATGTGAAACCATCAGAGACTCATGAGCGGTTAGAATACTTTTAGTTACAATGTCTAAATCTAGTTCTCCCGAGGTGGGATTTGGCCATTTTTGAAGTCTTTTCACCTCCAGCGTGTCCCGGGTTCGCTTTTTGTAAGAGTAACGACCCGTTTTAATGGATTCTCGGGCCATTCCCAGACTTAAACATTTTTTATAGCGGCAAAATCTACATGTGCTTCTTTTATTTCCTTTCACGTCACATTTTTTACTTTTCGGGCATTTGAACACAACTGGCCGTTTTAAAGCTCGCCGGAAAAATCCTTTACAAGCTTCGCAAGTGTTGACTCCATAATGAAGCCCAGATGCTCTGGCTCCACAGATTCGACATGGTGGCAACACAGCGGCTGGTGAATGTTTCGATTTGTTTAAAAAAGTCTTGGGGTTGTTTCTGAAGCTGATACTGTTGTCCTTTTTGCGGATTTGATTGTGGGTGTTGTTGTTAGTGTCAAAGCAGTTCTTTCTTTCTTTGAAACTGACTGCAGAAAAATTCGCTGAAGTCAAAACACTTATTTGACTTTTCTTTGAATTTTCTAGGTCATCAGCATTCTGTGTAAAAGCTTGTTTAGCGCCCTCCATCTCGTTATGATTTTCGATGGTTGAAATTGCATTATAGCGTTCTAAACAATTGCCAGGTATGTTTAGCCTTTGTCGATCTTCTTGATCGCTGTGGTTGTCAAAACCATTGTTACATTCGTTACTGAGTTTATCGTTCACGTTTTCTTCATTAACTTTGTCACTTATTGCGTTGGTAAATGTATAATTACACTGCCCGCATTTGTACATCATAGATTTATAGTTTCCACCCAACTCGGAACAGCTTCTCATTGTACCACGGGTAGGTATGTCTTTATCTACATTAGTGCGGGTGTATTTATGTATACTTGTAGGGGAAGCAGAAGGCCAAACTGGCTCCTGTGTTGTCAGAATGATGGCGTAAGTGGCTAGGATATGGCGCCATAAATGGCTGTCACTGAAATTAGACATGGATTGCAGATTGAATACAGTGGAGAACAAATGGAATTAATAAACGATGTTATCATTATTTGGAAGTGAAAAATCTAGTTTTTTTTTAATTATCTATCGGTGACAATTTGTTTATTTACATAAATGTAAGTAGGCTTTTAGTTTAAGTTTCCTTGCTCTCAGGTGGAAGCAGCATAAAATTGAGTCACATCTATTTCCTCGCAAGTAGTATAATGAGTACATCGATGGTGAGCATAAAGTCTGTCTCAAACTATCGAATCAATAAATTTATGGAGATCTTCTAAAGTATATGTTTGAAACTAACGTCTGTATAGAGGTATGCAGGGGTGACGCAACCTGGTATATATTTATATATATTAATAAAAATGTAAAGATCTGCTGCTTGTAATAACTATTCTCCGAAAGTTCTTCACCGATTGCTTTCAAATTTTCACACAACGTTGCATTCCTCCTCTCCACAGTCTGCGATCTCACGCGCGTGTTTTTATGTAACAGTGTGGCACAATCCACGAACAACGTAGCTACAGCAACGATCACATCAGTTTTTGTTTCTTTACCGGCCCGGAATTGTTTTTAGTTCCGCAGCTTGGACTGCTGAGCAGGGCTGCCAATACATGCCCTTTCCCCATGATCCGGGTCTTTAAACGGGTTTATATATTTTGGAACACTTTTTAAAATAAATACTAATGTACTTCTCGTCCTTTTTAGGACGAAATTTTTCGTTATTTGAAGCCCTACTCTAGCTCTTGCCAGGGGCCGCAATATACCCTGGCCATAAATATGGCCTAAAGGCTGAACGCGGTTTCTGGGAACTCTCCACGGTGATCCTCATCCACATGGTGGCACATTGTGTCATCAGGTGTTTATCGCTTGTGTGATGTCCTTGTGGAGTAGAAAGTCAGTCAGTCGTTAAAAAGTACTTTTTTTAAAAAAAATATATCTTTATATTACAGTGGGTAAATGTTTTATTTCCTAACCATACGTTTTATACTATTTATCAATCTTGGGTTTTTGTTTTCATATTTTGATCTTTGCTTGTGTAGTGCTTTTTTTTTTTTTTTTTTGGTCAGCCTAGTTTGGTTTTTCATACACGTCCCATTGACAGCTCTGCTGCCTACCTTACACATCTGCGTTAAGCTGTATGCCAATCGTTTTCCACCAATTGCTTTTTTATTGTCACACACCGTTGCATTCTTATACGCGCATGTTGTTACATAGAAGTGTCCAACAAAGCACGGGTACCAAAGCTTTCAGTTCGTGAGTATACTTTGATTGTCCCTATTGTTTTGCATTTCCTTTTTTGTACTATGTCTATTATTTTGCATTGCAAATGGCGGCGGAGTTGAACTGTCTTGAGTGATCCGCGTTCGTTATGCGCACGACGAGTTGCTGACTAAATATATGGATATGCAACGACCTGAACCTGAGAGATTAGTAATTAGTATGGACTATCATCACTGCTTTCCGCACAATGTTTGCAATTCATCTGTGTCGTTTACCATAGCGACTATTTCTTGAGTATACTGTATTCGTTTATTTATTCCCCCCCCTCCCCCCCCCCCCCCCCCCCCCCCCATTGTTTCGCTTTTTTTAAAACTATTTTTTTAAATGTTACATTACCTGTCCACTGTGTGTTTTGACCGCTCTGCATATGATTTCACATATTTCCTAAATTTTCTCCGATTATTATTATTTTATCGTTGTTTGTTAGTTAATGTTTGTCCTTTTGTATTGTGTTGCAATCCAAATAAAAAAAAAATGTAAATATTAATACTTTTTTGTTACACTGTCTGTGGACTTGAGCTAGCAAGTTTCCTTTTCGATTTGGTGGACATAAGTTTGAATCCCCATCCTACGTGATTCTTCCTAACAGCTCTATTGTGTCCCAGTGTATCTGTTAGCTAGTTAGTTAGTTAATCCACAGATTATCCTTATTGCAAATCGGACAATCTTCAGCGCTCGGATCCCATCTTCAGTATACTCCCCGGCGTGTAGCGACTGATAACTCAAGTTCTGTGTTGGTTTACTATTCCTCTTGTGCTACCTGTACAGTATTCATGTTTGGCGATCCATCTTTTGACCTGAAATTCTTGTAGTCGTTTGAGTGTTGCCGATTCAACGTCGTCTCCTGAATCATCTTCTCGTCTTGCCTCCTTGAGATCACAGAGAATGTCATTCCGGTCCATTGCTTTTGTTGTACCTACCGTGGCCCTGCCAGCAAGCCAGACTGCTCATTCATTCCCTCTTACCCCAGGGTGTCCTGGCACAAAAATGAAACTAATTCCTATCAGACGTGATTTCCTCAGCGACTCCAACCATTTTCTTCCTACCCATCCTGTCTCTTTTTTGCTTAAACACGCTCATGGAATCACTTAGAAAGCACGCATGGGAAAAATTGTTCAGTTTCTAGCCACATCAGTATAACTGTACTATATGGCACTATGGTTAAACGGGGTTTCCCGGATCTGTGTTTGATTCTCGTTCACGGAGATGCTAATCCTACAGACTGCATAAATTAAAAAAAAAATTATTCCAAAGTGTCTTGACCTTCCAGGTTGACCCAGTCCATCCACAAATGGATATAAGCAGGGGCGTACCATGAGTGCTTGACACCCATGGCAGGGAAATTAGGGGGAGGAGTGTTTGAGGGTGAAACAGGGGGGGGGGGGGGGGGGGGGGAGTCTCAAACAATTCGTAAATTTACATTAGATGTACTCTGCTTCAGGGCTACTTTTAAAGAAAACAAAATGATATTTTATCGGCCAAGTGAAACATCGGTGCAAGTCAAACTTTAGGGGTTACAGAGTAAATTACAAAAGACAGTGAAGCTCATACTAGAGACAAATATTGCATATATATATATATATATATATATATATAATATATATATATATATATATATATATATATTTTTTTTTTTTTTTTTTTTTTTTTTTTACACGCGAACGAAAAAAGAAGAAGATATTTTATTGTATTAAGAAACATCTACCGGGTAGGGTGGTAGGTGACCGTGTAACTATACACGTAAAATCTCTAACCTCCTTTAACAAAATGAAACTCAGTTTGGTTCCTTAACATGAGTCGCTGCCACATGAAAAAAACACGTTTTTTTTAGGGGGGGGGGGGGGAACCGTCCTTCTTTTTTTTTTTAAACTGGTGCCGAAGGCATCCTCCTTACCTGCCACACCATGGGCATGTCCCTGGGTACAAGAAGATGTTATGGGAAGTAAACGGGGCCAACGTGATTCCAACCACATCATCCAATCGAGTGCTGACCATTCTACACAGATTTGTGGCCATCATCCTATTACAGAAAATTTCATGGGAAGTAAAGGCATCCGGTGTGATGCTGAACACATCACCCACCAACTCCCGACTGCTCTATATAATACAGGTCTAGCCCTATTTGCCCAGTACTCCCGAATACGTTGAAAATGGTCCTTAGCTTTACTACACCGTATTCCCACAAATCCTGAATTCTTGGAAATATATCCTTTAGTGTTTACACCACTTTAACCACATCTACTCCGTTTCTAAATGTGGGTTTTTCCACTTTAAAAAAAAATGGTCTTCCTGCTTCAACGATCATTTTTTTTTTTTTTTTAGGTACTTGCATGTTGAATAATCTATATTAGGACAATGTTAGTTTGCTATCCCTTACAGTCGTTGCAGAAACAACCCAAGGATATTTTGGTGGCTGTTTTGGGGTTTTACTGTGGGATGTTACTTGCATTAGTTTGCAATATATTAAAGCGTAGCAAAATACAGGGGGTTCGAACAAGTAACTATACACAAAATAAAAGAAGTAACTATACAAAGATAAGCTTCCAAAAGTCAATTCCTCTTCTTCTTCTTCTTTTCCCTACCACTGGAATGCCTCGCAGCGTCGGGGGTGGGAAGGGGGGGGGGAAGGAAGGGGAGAATTTAGAGATCCCAGGGACGGGTCCTCATTATCCACATATTTCACAAGTAACAACGCACGCATCACATATTGTTAAGAAAAGTAACTATACACATAGAATTTAGAAACGAAAGTTACTATGCATATATGGTCTACAGTTTCAAAAAGTAACTATACACATATAGCCCAATTTCCAGAGAAACTTTTTATGTACTATCTACAATCTAGAAATGTGTGTGTATATATATATATATATATATATATATATATATATATATATATATATATATATATATATATATAAAATCTACAGTTTCTCAAAGTAACCATACACGTAGTATATATCTACAGTTTATAAAAGTAACTATACACCTATTTTCTACATTTTCAAAATATTGGCTATCTATTGAGAATGAACCAAGAAACTCTAGACCGTATGATAACCAAGAGAAGATGGAAATGGCTTGGCCACGTTATGATAATACCAAAAACAGCAATCACATGGATACCAGAGGAAAAAAGGAAAAAAAAGGGACACCCCAAAACAACATGGAGACGACCGATGAAAAGTAACGTGAGTGCGGCAACTTTGACATGGAAAACTGCACTGAAGATTGCACAGAATAAGAAAGCATGGAAAACCCCATCTGAAGCCCCATGTGCCACTAGGCATAAAGACAATTGATGATGTTGATGATGATGATGATTGAGAATAAAACCAGACGAAATTATCAAATTGTATGTGAGACTGTCTACAGACAAACGTCTGGGCGAAAAGGGGGTGGGGGAGGCTAAGGAAGATACGGTAACGCTGAATAAAGCAAAAGATGAAGAAATCCATCACTAAAGCTCCAGAAACTCAAGACACGAACACATCACCAAGGCAGTATGAGCTACAACCTGATAAACGTGTGACGACAAAACACAAGAAGACGAAGAA